GCCAGCCATGACATACAGGTTGGAATGCTGGCCAATGAGAAAAAGAGAAGAACAACTACTTCACACTGCCAAAATGAGAGTGCTCATTGGATGCTGGGTAAGACAAGAGCTGATAGGCTACACAATGGAATAGTATGAATAATAGTGCTCCCAGAATAGCTGAAGGAGTATCAACTGAGATGACTGGGTCATGTGAAACAAAGAGATGTGGGATATATTGGTCAGAGAGTACAAAAGCTAGTAGTCACAGGGCAAAGGCCTAGAAAAAAGGTGATTTGAGACACTAAAGACATGAAGGTTGATGGCTGCTTGGAAGATGCACTTGACAGGAATGTTTGGAGGCGAAGAGCAAGATCTGCCAAACCCGATTGGAAGGGTGTGATGCTATATGATTGAAATATGACCATGTATATCCTTGACATTGCCACTGTTAGACAATTGCAACAAATCTTGTACAAAGTATATCATAGAATCATAGAAAATCAGGGTTGGAAGGGACCTCAGGAGGTCATCTAGTCCAACCCCCTGCTCAAAGCAGGACCAATCCCCAACTAAATCAAAATCATGTAATGTGTCAATGGAAAAGTTATTGGCTAAAGTTATTGATTATCCTATTTATATGCATGTATCGTTTTGTATCTGAAGTGATGAATATTGGCTATATATCCATATCACCATTGTGTTTGTTCCTGGGGTAACACCCACAAGGTAGTTTACATCCAGTCTAACAGCATACTGTGAATGGACTATTCGAGTTGATGGCCCATCAAAGACACTTTAACTCTCACAGTGGGCCATGGAAGAAACTCATTCCGCCCAGATGGCTCTTCCTGCAGATGCTTTAGCCTCCAGGTGGCCAATGGCTGCCCCTGTGAGTCAATAAGCCATGTAAAGCATGTGACATGCTCATGTGACCCTAAACTCCATATCGCACCAGTAATTTTCCACAAACTGTGCTGTGGGCTTTTGTTTGGTACAATAAAATTCCAGGCACATGGCAGAGAGTATAAAAGACCCTGTAAACATCTTCATGGTGCCTTTTTTCTGCTCTGATTCTCTGGACTGTGGACTTGCATCTAAAAGGAGCATTGTGATCTATGCACTGAGGAGCTTCCAATCTTTTGGAAGTTACCAGAGACTTTACAAGCCAGCAGTCTGAAACATCACTGCTACAAACCTGATATAAGAACTTTGCAATGATTATATGTGTGGCTGATCTCTTGGGATCAGAAGAACCTTTTATTTGATTGATGAAATTGGTTTTCAATAACCACTCATCATAGAGTCTAGTGTCTGGATGGTGAAATAAGGGTTGTGATGCCTAACGAGACTGCATTTTTGGCTTCTTGTTAACCAATGTGGTGAGACAGAAGTTTACTTTTGTTACTGGCTTGGTATAATCTAATGATAGGGCAAACTCACCCTACACTGTTGGTTAATCTATTTCTCAGCAGTTTGTCCTGAATCTGGCATTCTCAGCTGTTGAATCACTGAGGCACGGTGACAAAGGGATAAGGCAAAGAACATTTCATAAGTGGGAAGCAGCCTAGAAGCTGAAATAGGCACTTTTGGCAGCAATATAACAAAAAATCCTCTTTTGAAATTTGAAATGTTGTCAGTGTTGAAATTCTGTATCAATAAAGCAAAGTAGTATACTGGTGAGAGAAAATGTAAACTATTTATAAATCTTACAGGGTTCAAAATTAATTGTATTGACTAAAGAAAAGGGACCTGCACCTCATTACAGACAGCTCAATGAAGAACTTTGCTTAATGTGCAGCTGTAGCCAAACAAGATGCTGGGATGCATGAGGACTGGAATGGAGAATAACAGAGAACATTATAAAGCCTTATATATAAATCAGTTCAGTTGCCTCATCTGGATAGTGTATGTAGTTTTGGTCAACCCATTGCAAAAAAGATATTGCAGAATGAGAGGATGTTCAGAGAAGAGCATCAAGAAGGGTCAAGGGCCTGGGAATAATTCTGATATGAAGAAAAATTGATAAGATTGGGATTGTTTTAGTTAGGCAATAAATAAGAGGGGACCTGATAAAAGTACATAAAACAATGCCTGGTCTGGAGAAGGGAGATTGGGAGCTTCTGTTTTCTCTGTCTCCTGACACAAAAACAAGCGGACATTCAATTAGGTTAAAAAGTGCTGAATTCAAAACCAATAGAAAGAAATACTTTTTTACACAACATGTAATTAGATTATGAAATTCATTGTCATAGGAAGTCATTTAGGGCAAGAATTTAGCAAAATTCCAAAAAGGAGTGGAAATGTATATGGACATTGAGATGATCTAGAGTTGTTATAATTAATGCTAAAATTCAGATAGTTATTAAAGTTCATGCTTCAGGGTTTAAGCCAATCTATCTATTAGACACCACAGCGAGACCTAATGCAGGGGGCAGATTATTCTACATTTTCCTACTATGGTTTTCTTGCACCTTCCCGTGATGGGCTACTGGATTAGATGGTCCTTGGGTCTGATCCAGTATAGTAATTCTTGCGTTCTTATCATTTGAGACTTCATTTCATACCTATGGCTGTCCGAGTAACAACAAGGCATTTCTAACTATAGTATCACAAATATTTGTGGGGGTTTTAATTGCAGTTTCTAGCCTTAATCAAGCAGTTTCTAGCCTTAATTAAAGGTATTCCATACTAAGTGTGAACAAGATTACGAATGGTAGACTATGTTCAAATGTTCTTAAGTGTACTAATTTGTACCTTTGGCATGCTGTCTTTTATGAAGATTAGTGGAATGGTTTATGACAAGAATTTCCTTTATAGATAGCTGCCATGGGAGTTGCTATTTTAAAGGGAAATTATCCACATTTTTCTCAACTTGCATCTATGAAAAAGGCCATGGTTAGATAAACTGTGTAATGAATTTTTCAAAAAGTTTAATGCTAGTTATTTCATTGAGTGGATTGTTTGTCCATAACTTAATTGGTGAAAACCCTTCTATCACCCTTCAGCAGGCCTGAACAGCCAATGCAATTCCAGAGGGGCTTGATGCCAGTCCAAGTCTCCTGAACACTCCCATGTAGCTCTGCATTGTATAGCGTGGACAGCACAGATGTTGACCTCCTGGCTTCCCATTCCAGTGTTTTCCTTAGCTAAGGCTTTCACAAGAAGTGGATGCCCCTATGTGGCAGAGTGCTGTGAACCAACAGCTAAGCTAGCACTCTGATCACTTAAACACCAATTAATTCACCTGGGTGGGCCTGACTCTCCCTAATTGGCAGATTAGAATGGGCTGGGGAGGACTGAAGAGGTAATTAGCCCATTAGTGCAGAGGGTAGAGGGCTGCACAGGAAGGAAATGCTGGGAGAGAGGCAGGCTAGCGATCCGAGGAGGAACTGATATTGTAAATTCCGTGGTGGATGGATCAGTAAAGGTGGTGGGAGGACAATGTAAGTAAACTAAACGGTGGTGTTTATCAGTTGAAAGTCTCCAAACACTCTGTGTAAACAGAGAAGACAGGATCAAGACCTTGCCCTGTAACAGCCTAAGAGAGGAGAAACTGAAGAAGACTAAAAGAAAAAAACAAACGTGTAACTTTAGTAGCAAGTCAGTGCATCCCAGACATTCTCTGTTTCTGCCTTATTTGCAAAACCTAAACCATCCTCTGCAATGGACCCTGAATTAGAACCTCTTCCCCAACTCCAGCTTTTCCACAGCTTTATCTTCTGCTCTTAAGGGATATCTGCCTTAGCAATCCAAGTGACCAAGGGCCACGTGTGCTGAGCTAATGCCAATGCTCAGTATTTTCCTTTCTTCCAGATCTCAAAGCTCTCAGCAAAAGCATGTCAGTGCCAGAGCCTTCCATCACCACCTCCTTCCCAAAAGCTAGCTGTAACAAAAGCACAAATGTTTGTTTTTAAGGCTCTTTGTTTACCCAGTCAGGGTTAAACTGGCTTCTATCTCTGAGGTTCTGCTAATGTGTCATAACATCTGAAGACACCTGCTTTGAAAGTCCTGGTTCAGAGAAACCCACCATAACAGGGTTTCCCAAACGCTGGTACACATACCCCGGTGCTGAACTGTGGAGTTTGTAAGTAATCTAATTGCTATGGCAGTTGCTGCTGGGGCACCAAGAGGTACACAGGCAAAGCTGGATTAGCACTTTCACTGGACACTCTTGTTCTAGTGTTTTGGATTTTTTTCCTTTAATGATGTAGCCAGAGGGCCAAGTCACTGCAGTAGCTAAACCAGGCTGGAAGGTCAAGCGAGCCAACATGAATGAGGGGAAACTGAGGCAGAAGCTAGCCCAAAGCCAGACCAGGTTGACAGCACTGCTACGGTGCCTTAGAAAAACCACAGTGAGCACAATGTTTCACCATAGTACTTCCTGTTAGGTTTCTATGAAGCTTTCCTTGACCAGTGCAGGCACAGCCTAACCATGCCATAAACTGGTGTACAAAGCTGTTAATTAGGCTGGTTTCTGCACTGTTTATTCCTAAATGTTAAATGACAGACGGTGGGACTGGCCCATTTAGATACCTAGTGATTTCCTGTTTGGAAGACGGGTCCTTTTCTTCACAGCTACTAGAACAATACTCGTTCTTTGTTTCGGCCAGGCCTCCCAGTACCCCTGTCGAAAGTTGGATATCTGGTACTTCAGTCCAAACTTCGTTACATGGTCGTGCAAACCTCTTTTTAGAGTATCAGGACAGATCACTGCTTCTTATTACCACCTCTTTTTAAAAGACTCAGTCTCTAGTTGGTGCACCTAGTAAGTCTGTATAGGCATGTGTTCCTGTCAGTTATCCTCCTTCTTCTGTCCCTAGTCCCTTTGTATGTGTCTCACACTTGTGTTTGTGTCTTGTCTTTAGTTTGTAAGCTATTTGTGGCTGGGACTGTCTCATACTATGTGTGTGTATATAGCACCTAATACAAGATGACCTGGTCTGGTTGGGGCATTTGCATGTGACTGTCACATAGATATTCATGATAATTTACAGCTGAGCTACTTTTTGCCTTTACAGATGAAGGTGAGGCTTCTCCAGTCCTACGTAATGGACCTGAGTGACCAGAATAGCGTCTTAGTTCAGACGATGGAAGAACTGGAGAGAGAGTCTGAGTGGAAGGTGGCTACACTAGAGGCAGAGCTTCAGGTACTGTTTGCTGTACATGGATGTACCAAAGAAAGTGTGTATTGTGCTCTTCGGGGGTCATTACCCTCTGTTTGCAGAGCATTCTATAAACCTGACTAAAAATGCCTATGGGACTACTTATCTCCTTCTCTTTTACTGCTACAGTATATGTGTGTGTTATGAGAAACTTCCTTTCTAGGCCTGGTCTTTGAGGAGTTAATTACAGTGCCTTGGTTGGACCTACTTTTCCTTTTAATCCTCACCCCAATCCTGCTCCAGTTATTTTTCATACTGTATGTGTAACAAACTATGAGAATGGGGTCTGGTTTGGGGGGAAGATTTATGCTTTTAACTATTTTCAACATTTCATATATTTTTGGGGTGTATATGGTCATCCCAGGTTTTCCACGCTAAAATATAAAATGCAGATGACCCCAAACTGGGAGAGATTGCAAGCACTTTGGAGAACAGGATTAGAATTCAAAAAGACTTGACAAATTGGAGAATTGGTCTGAAATCAACGAGATGAAATTCAATACAGATAAATGCTAAGTACTTAACTTAGGAAGGAAAAATAAAATGCACCACTACAAAATGGGGAATAACTAGCTAGGCGGTAGCAGTGCTTAAAAGGATCTGGGGGTTATAGTGGGGCACAAATTGAATGAGAGTCAACAATGTGATGGAGTGGTGAAAAACGCTAATCTCATTCTGGGGGGGAATAAGAGGAGTGTTGTATGTAAGACTCAGGAGGTAATTGTCCTGTTCTACTTGGCATTCATGAGGCCTCAGCTGGGCTCTGCACTTTAGGAAGGATGAGGACAAATAGGAGAGAATCCAAAGGAGAGCAACAAAAATGATAAATGGTTTAGAAAACCTGATCTATGAGGAAAGGTTAAAAAAAATGAGGATGTTTGTCTTGAGAAAAGAAGACTGAGTGGGGACCTGATAACAGTTTTAAAATGCATTAAAGGCTGTTATAAAGAGGACAGGGATCAGTTGGTCTCCTTGCCCACTAAAGATGGGACAAGCAGTAATTGGCTTAATCCACAGCAAGTGAGACTTGTTAGATATTAGCAAAAACTTTCTAACTGTAAGGATAGTTATATTCTGGAATAGTCTGAATAATCAATAGGGGTGATTGTGGAATATCCATCATTGGAGGTTAAGAACAGATTGGACAAACACCTGACAGGGATGGTTTAGGTTTACTTGGCCCTGCCTCAGCGCAGGGGGTGGGATATGATGACCTCTTGAGGTCCTTTAAAGGCCTATATTTTTATTATTCTATGTCTATAAACTCTGTGGTTGCTGACATAGAACAGAGTCTAACCCAGAAGTTGATGACAATATCTCATAGCTATTGGATCAGTGGTAACTTGTCTAACTCAAACCTGTGAGTTAGTGTTACTCAGACTGAGGCTCACGAGTGACAGTGGCTCTTTAATGTGTCCCCTATGGCTCTTTGCAGCACATGATATTAAAACACTGTGTAATTTAATTGTTAACCAATCAGGATGCTTTTATTATGTTATTAACCAATTGTAGTTGATAAAATAATAATACTTGGTCAATCCTTTTGCTGAGAGAATTTTATTTATATATATATATAATATTAAATGAAACAATGGATTCACACTTCTGTGGATCTTTTGGGTAATATTGATCACAAATTTGGCTCCTGAACAACTGAGGTCTAAGTGTCACTGCTTTACATGATGCTTTTGGGGTCCCTGCCGATTGAGCCTTGGTGATAGGGAGCTGTGAAGAGAGATGAGGTTGGTGGACAGTGCCATCTGTGACTAACTTCTGGTCAAACCCTTTAGCCAGACAGCAGCTGATAGGCGTAGATAGAGAGAAGCAGAATGTAGGCCTTCACAATATGATAGGAAGACTTCATACTTATATAGAGCTTGCACTCCAAGATCTTAAAGTGCTTTCCAAAGTTGGGTCAGTGGAGTTACTGCATTTTACAGATGGGGAAATGGAGGCAAAAAGACTAAATCAATTTTCCAATGTTCACACCTTGAGACAATGGCAGAGGCAGGAATAGAACATGGATTGGTTTTAATCACAAGATAAAAGTTGTCTCTCTGTAATGGCGTGAACATATTTGAGATTGATAGCTGGACAAAACTTTTTTTTTTTTTTAAACAGTGGGCTGTGAATAGCTAAGATGGGTGTCTTGATGACTAAATAGGCAGATATCATAAGAATGTATGGAAGGGATTAATCTATTTTGGGCTGCCTGCAAACAAACGAGTGCTGTAGTGAGTAAAGTATTTAGGAATGCAGTTTCATTAGAATCTAGGAATTAAGACTAGCACAATATTTCTTCATACATTAGAAAAGCTAAATACTAGTCAAGAGGTCCCTTTATCGTGTGTATG